ATCCCATTGAGTTTGGTTGGAAGTTCATTAAGCAATTTTTTCTTGTCTGACCCCAAGAGGCTAGTAAAATCGTATTGCCCAGACCCTTTCCCATCAGCATTTGTTTTTTCCCATATGTCAAAGGAGACCCCACATGATCGAATTGCTGCCTGCAAATTTTTTAGGTGTTCATTTTTTTGTTGACATTTCCTCTTGTCCCAGTTTTTGCTTCTGTCCCAGTCTAAGGCATCCCGAACCAAATTTTCTATGAGAACATCTGAAATCCTTAATAGAAGGTGCAGTTCATCCAACACTACATGATCGAGCTCTATATGAAGTAGAGGCTCATGTTCACAGCAATATTTGTCATTTTGTTTCTTTTTCTTTACTAGTTCAAACATCTCTGTAAGAGTTCTCCTTAGATCTGGAGATTGATAATGGTCTAAATTGAAGCTTGTGTCCCACCTCATGTCTTTGTGTATTTTGCACCATACACATGCATAGTGTGAGGTAGCACCCTTCAAACCCATCACAAGTAAAATGAATTTGTAATCGCCCCCTAGGAAAAATTCCAAATTAATTGATTTGCCACCCACTTCTATTTTCTTCTTACTTATAAGAGAATTGATGTCCTTGAAGACATCTTCAAATGACTGCCTTAAGGTATTGTAGTGTTCTTTACCCTTCACAACAGCTATGGTGTGGTTACCTTTTGCTGCCATAACTTCATCATCTGAATGGAGTAGGGCAAAACTCATAAGTATGAAACTAGAATTTCTGGTCATTCTCGCCCCATCCCCTGAAATTTTGATTTGTACATGATCCACATGTGGATGGCTTGCCACATAGTCTTGAACCCTGTCTCTCAGAAGGTCAGTGAATGATGTCTGTGCCCCTTCCGTCTCACCGGGGGTGGAGGTGATATGACAGATGTCATTCATCTGACTTCTCCTTTGCTTTACAAGGTATGACTTTGGCAAGCCATCAACTACCATTGTAAGCTCATGATAAAAGTTGTCTCCAACACAAAATTTATCTAATAAAAATAGCACCTTTTCTACTTTGGACTTCTCCTCTTCAGACAGTGAGTCAAATGCATTTGAGTTCCCATTGTAATTTGACATCTGGTCTTCAGCCATTACTGTGTGACTGATGCCAGTCTTTTGCTCATTCATAGTCATTGACTCTAGTTCCAGTCCAAATGACTTTGCAAACCACAAAGCAGTTTTGGCTCTACACATAAATTCCTTTAAAGTGCGAGACTTCTTCTTCACCTCTGATATATCTTTCCCCACATAAGTTTTGTCTGAATTTTCAATTTTCTCGAAGTAATGTTGGAGTTCTTCATTCTTTGACTGAAGGTTAGACAAACTTTGTTCCTTCTCTTGAATGGCTAAATACATTTCTGCAAATAGCTGTTTACTCTCTGCTTCAAGATGCTGGTAATTCTGCTTCCACTCCTCCAGTTCATCTCTAATAGCCTCAGTTTCTTCCCTCAAGCAAGTTACTGAAAGTGTTTGTCCTTCAAAAATGTGGAATCTTCTCACTTTTGAGTTAAGTTCCTCTCTCTTGCTACCTCCTTTGGCCTTTGCATATAAATTCTGGACCATTCCAGCAATTTTTGCAAGGGTATTGTTTACTTCTTTTCGTATTTGCTCATCAGCAGTTATGGCAAAGGTATGATGAGGAATACAATACTCAAAAAGGTCAACATAGGTGTATTCCTGGACTGCTGCAGGACTTAGATCACTGCTAGTTGATGCTGACTGATTAGGCTGACTTGCCACAGCAGCTGTCTTTCTAACCTTCTTCTGCAACCCCAGGAATTCATGCCAAGCCTTTATCAATGGATAGGGAATATCCACTGCCACAATGACATTTTTTGTGACTGCCTTTGCAGCATAATTTAAAGAGGGGCTTTCGATGCTCAATTTCCATTTTAAAAAGGATTCCAGTGGAGGTCTGTCAGACATTCTATAATTTTAAATTTTACGTCTACTAATAAACGAATTAGTTCCAAGCCAAATCAATGTTCTGAGACTTAATTTCACACTACAGGAATTGTG